AACTTTCTCCTAAGAGAACTTGGTTCTGAGCAGAAAAACCAAGTTTATCCTAGAGAAACATCGAACAACAAACAGAACACACACACACACGCACACACACACACACACACTCTCTCACTCACTCACTCACTCACTCACTCACTCACTCATTCACACTCACGCAGAGGCCGTTGCTCCACTGAAGTTTCACGGGCAATTCCAAGTACGGAAGAAGCTCAATTATGCTGGCGTCCGAAAGCAGTCTGTATCAACGCAGTGTATGGCGTTGTCATTCTCCAGCGAGTTATTGCCAGATGGCCAGATGCAAGAATGCTTCAGCCCAGCCCTTTCACCTCCCTGTTTCAAGCTCGTCTTTGCGATGGCGAGTGCAATAAGCACCGTGCATTTCACCCCAATTCAGTATCTGCCGTCTGCTCTCACACATAGATCCAACCGGATCCCGATCCACGGCAAGATGAGAATCTGCGCTGTAAAGGCGTAGGATTTTTTTCCCCAGCCGCTCGTCCGAAAGAAAGAGACCCGAGCGAAGTCCCAGGGCAATAGGTCTTAGGTCTCTCGGAGTCATGCTCTTCGGTTCACAAGCTACAGCTCCCAGACGCGCATGCATGATCATATCTTTGTCATATTCGGCTAATCTACTCTCACGGCCTCTTCATTCTCTAGATCGCTTAGACGCCTACTTGGTCCTTACCTTTCGATTCTGGCATGGCCGTGCGAGGTCCTCGTTGCCAAAAAGCGTAGATGTCTGAGAGAAGCCTCGGAAGGTTCAGCAGCGGACAGGTGTCGTGAAGGAGACAACAATGCGATGCCTCCTGAAATGAAACAGGATTCTGCACAGTCAAGTCTTCCGAAGGGCTGAACCACATGGCTCGGCCATCGGGGCCCAGCACTCGTGTAAGCTCCTCTCAGAAGCCCCCTTCCAGGCAAATCCAGGCAACTTAACAACAGCTGCTTTGTGATTGTGTCCTTGTCAAGGCTGGCCCTGTCCATGAAGTGCACGGCAAAAGTGGCGACGACCAGGTCGAGGGATTGTTCTGGCTGGAGACGCAGAAACTCGACACCATCGCTCTTCACGATCCTCAGGATGGCATGTGCACAGAGCTGGCAGAGGGCGGCCGCAACTCCCCAGAATTGGCCTCTCCTATTCCATTCACTCTCGACACTCTCCTGCAGCCATAACAACTTCTGCCTGGCTGCATTGAACTCGGTCTCTCCCGCATGCAGGCAAGTTTCAAGTGTGAGCAGTTGTCTGGAGGGAATGGGTCCTGAGTCTTTCTCGTGCATCGTTCTAAGTAGACAAGCAAAGCATCGTCTGCCACCGAAGTTCCACGTTGATCATAGTCCGCGCCTGTTGGGATGCCCGGAGAAAGCCACACAAAAAGCGGCGCAGGGGAGGGTCTCACGTGTGCAGGCAATGTTATCAGAAGTTTCTGCTCGCTCATGGACTGTGGTGTCAAACATCCTAAACACTGAACACCTCCTCCCCCTCCTCAGCATTCTGTTCCTTGTGCGGCCGGCGCTGGCCTCCTCCCTTTCCTTTTCGCCAGCGTGCGACAGATCGGGGTCACAGGGGCCAAAGACTGAGCCAGCGGGACCAACGCCCCCACACATCCACCCATGAAATGGGCTCTGTTCGAAACCTTTCTGCTTCGATCGGAGCCCGTCTGAGTCTGATGAGAATTTAAGCGCTCACATGATGCCTTGCGAGATCGACGATTGAGGACTTCTTTTTGCCAATTGCGCGTTAGCCCAAACCTCTGCGCTTCCGGGAATTACAGCATGCTACAGCTCCAAAGGCTGTAAGCTCCATCTGGTCCAAATTGCAGCAATTCTGTATAAATTCGGGTGTCCGCTTATGGCAACCTTCCCATGCGCTAATGCGTGCATCGTAACTTCTGCGCTTAGCTACTTAGAGATGCTCGACAACTTCAGTATGACACACTGCTAGTCGGCAGATTGCTACTCCAGACACGCAATTTTCCACATTAGCTGCTGCAAGGTTAGCGAGTTGCTCCGACACTTCTGCAATGTAAGAGACAGCTTGGCTTGGTTCAGTCTCCCCACACGCCAGAAAAACCATCCTTGTCCTACCATGTCCTACCCTTCTGTGTCCATCAGAAGCACCAAACCTTTCAAGGCACACTGCCGTTGTCTGCTTGTTCATTGGGATTCCTGTGGCGCCGGTTTCAGGCATCTCCCCGGGCATCCGCATTCGGGTGTTGGAAATCAGGGCATCGGCCGCTCCGTCCCCAGTCCCCGTATACTCTTCGGACCCTGCCTGCAAAAGCTTCCCCAGTGTGCCATCGCCAGCCCCAAGGTCTGTGACGACTTTGCCGTCCGAGTATGGCAGGCAATAGTCTGCGATCCGGTGCCAAATGCCTAGACTTAGGGTGCACAACTGTTGCTCTAGAGCTGTGGACAGTCCGCCTGCCACGGCCAAGGCTGCCAGGACACTAGGGTGGTCGGAGACGTTATACCTGGGTAGCATCGCAAATGATGCTCAAGGCCATCTATCCCACCCAACTCTAGTACTCCCGATCCTCCTACAGGAGGCCTGATGCCTTGGCCTACATAACCCCTACCCGTGCTGTAGCCTGGTTTTGTCAAGGGTCTCTGTTGAATTGCTTGCGATATGGTGCTTCCTTACTTCTCTCTCTCCCTCACCATCCTCCTGTGTCCGGTGGTTTCGCTGGTGTAGAATAGCTAGCTTGCAGGCTAACCTTAAGTGTCTGACTCACCAGCCCGCGCATGCTCCTTCGAGCTATCCCACGACTGTCTGACCAGCTCTTGTGGGACCAGAGCACACAAAAGCCCCCACTGTGATCAAATCACAGCCCATACTTCCATCATGTAACCATGGCAGAAACGGCTGGTTCGGATGGTGCATGCGTATATGATATAACCAACAAAAACTTCGGGTTGCAGAATTTCTGTCGAAATTTTTTTTGGCGCTTATGGGATTTATTTCTTTTGGCGCGGAGGGGGGGGGGATCCAGCGCCTGCCCATACCTCTGGGATGCCAGTACCACGGGGGACAGCATTCTGCCGTGCTTTTGGAACCGCCAATTTCTACTCGAGGTGGAGCAGGTTGGTTGTGCTTCGGGATCCGGCAGTGCTTGTGGAAGACTATGTTGGCCCATCAGTGCGAGCGGGTTGCGTCAAGAGTGCGGAGAGTAGTGGTTGCTGCGAGCACGGTCCGGGATCCACGAGTTTTGGCAGTAGTTGGTAGAAAGCATTTTAGCCGCGGTCTCGAATCTTGCTGAACCCCATCGGCAGCTGGGCTTCCGTCAAACATGCAGAGATCGGTGGCTACTGAGGGCGCGGGACGGCAAGGTGCTTCTGGGGACAAGCTTCCTGCTGCGGCGTGTTCGTGGCAGTTGACCAATGTGCCCCTGTGCCCCCGTGAGCCGAGATCATTGTAAACTACAAAGCATGGCCCACATAGTTTGCAATCGCAGCAGTACTTGGGGAAATAGTATAAATTTTGGGTGTGCTTCTAAATACCACCCGTCTTCGGTTTTTTGGGCTAGTAAATCCACCACTATTTGGGGCAAAGCATTTTAGCATGGTCCTGGATCCACCAGCAGGCTGGGAGTAAGCATTTTGTCCTCTGGAGCAGTGTAAGGGGGAAGTGGACAAGTAAAAAGCTAGTATTAATAGTAATGTAATAACCTGAAAATGAATCTAATCGTAGTATGAATACTAATATCAATATTGCTATATATATATATATTAATATCATTATTAGTAATAACATGTAATAATGTGTATATATATATATATGTACACTACTTTCATTGTTAACTACACTAATATTATAATAATATTATATTCATATTGATATTACCGTGCATGCTAATATTACTACCAAGCAGGCGAAAAACCACAGATGCAAAACATAATGGCGACAACAATGAGCCCTCCTTTATCGACCCGCATTGAATAATGCCTGGTCCGTCGTGGCCATGCTGACGCTTTCCCTCGACAACCATAAACTATCTATCTATCTATCTATCTATCTATACACACAAATATATATAATACTATGTATATACTATATATACTACATATACTATATAGACTACATGGACTCTATATACTAAAAACACACTTTAAATATTGTAGAAACTCTCTCTCTCTCTATATATGTGTGTGTATATATATATATATAATATGTACTAAACAAAAAATGCACACACGATATATACTATATATTCCATATAGACTCTATACTCATAAGCACTATACTATGCTATGTGTATGCATACATACATACATACATACATACATATATTTATAGATATATATATGTATGTATGTATGTATTTATGTATGTATTTTGTAGTTGTACTTGTCGAGCATATAGTCGTTGTTGTTGTTGTTGCTGCTGCTGTTACTGCTGTTGCTGACGAAGACGATGTCGCTGTTGATTTTATTTCTCTTAAAACAGTTGTTGTTACTGATTAGACTTAATAAACGCAAGAGCATAAGCAAGAACAAACAGAAACCACACAACTGCAAACCGGAAAAGCACGAGAGCGAAAGCGTTAAAGCAGAGAAGCAGAAAAGCAAAAGCAGAATCAATGACAAGCAGACAACGAGAAGCAAAAACGGGCAGAAGGCCGAGAAGCGGAAAAAGCAAAAGCGCGGAAGCAGACAATGGCAGCTCGTGCTCTGAAGTGAGGAAGCGCAGAACCACAAAAGCGGACGAGACCCCCCCTCCCCCCCTGAAAAAAAAAAAAACAAAAACACACACACACACACACATCCCACAGCGCAAAACAAAATCCCACAAACAATGGTAGAAATTGCAAATCAATTCAATATTCCTGAAGGGGCCAGGATGCTTCGCATGTGCCTCCGCCGTGGTCGTGTCCCACGCAGTTTCCAAAGATCTGTGGAGAAATGCCGCCTCATGCAGCTCGAAACTCGGGAGTTTCGTAGCCGTCCCCATAGTTGCAAAGCCCACCTCCGAGTGTTTTCGGTGGAATAAAAGCACATCATGGCAAAGCAAACCAGGAATCATCGCTTCATGCAGCGCAGACGCACTGCCAGCCCTCACAGCAGGCAAAAGTGTTGGTGCTCGGCACAGGCTTGAAGGATGAATCCTCCCCAAGGCAGCTCTCATCTCATTGGCTCGCCATTCGAGCCGAGATTCCGAAACAAAGCCCATGCACACAAACCCAAGCGTTGGCACAGTCATCAGGCAGGCAGCACCCTATCCGGTCTCCGTCAGGCGAAGCTCGCCTGAAGGGCCTTGGGCAGGCTTCGATAAGACTTGCGTAAAGACAGACGCCTGGGACCCCATTTTGCAGCCGAGCCTATGCGACAAAGAGGCGGCGACAAGCGCCACTCACGCCTCCACTTGCAGGTTTCGAGCGTCGCATTATCAAATGTCACTAAATTGACCCCATGGCGGCCTCTGCCTGGGGTTCCAAGTGTGTCGGCTTAAAAGGCCGCCCAAGAAAATGTTGGAATGCTGAAGCCTCGGACAGGCATACAATTACCGTGTCGAAGCATTGATCAATGATGATAAATGATAGATGCAGAATGGTGCAAATTGGTGCTGCGACCCTCTCTGATTCCGCACCGAGGTCAGGGCAATGACCGCCAGCAAGCTTTGACCAGCGGAAGATACTGCAGCCAAACCTCTTGACTTGGTGCTGCCGTTCTTCTAGGGTTTGCACCACTAAGAAAGGCTGAGTATGGTGCTTTGGACGCTACAATGCCGAAGTTTCCCTCCGCGGGGTTCTTTTCGCTAAAGAGTACCTGCTGTGGGAGCTTGACCTGAGTCCAGGCGACATGCATTGCTTTCCGGGAAGCATCCCGTCCGAGCTTTCCGCCTGCGCACCCTTGATGTCTAGACGGGTAGTTCCCAAGCTCACCACCTGGAGCCGCGGACCGGGCAAGTCTTGACTCTGAGGCCATCCAAGCCCCTCGCTCTGCCTGAATGGTGTCACGAAGCGACTTTGGGAGATAATGCGCATCAGGTAGGTGCAGCCTCGAATGGCATACAGAATGGCTTTCCAGCATACTTGGTGATGCTCCACATGTCCTTGCGGGACTAGGTCCGTCGCTGGCACCAAACATCCACCCTTGCATCTCCAACAACCTGAGACGATGATGAACAGATCTAGTCGCCCGGTTGTGAACAGCATGCAGGACATCCAGGCGCAGGGCGAGCTTGTTAACCACAAGCTTCGACGAAGCATCCGGAGGTTGCGGATTGCTCAAATGCAGCGCGCCCTGCCCGAAAAGGGCTAGACTCCATGTAGCCCGCATGCTAAACTACTCAGCCTTCGCCCTGATCAGGACCTGGTCGAACGTGAGGCCACCGATTCCCACTGTCAGGTTTCGCCTGCTGTAATGGCACACCGTTGGAACAAAAGTTTTGGCCAGGGTCTACTTCCTTCTGCACCTGAGGAGACGCACTTGATCCATCAGTGCACCCATCACAGAGACCTGGGAACGGAGATGTCGTGACAGCTGAAGCACATGTTTCACGGCATCCACGGGGCTTGGGATCCAAGGAACACACCTCCAGGTGCCCGAATGCGAGCTTCACCTCTCAAAGCATGCATGACGCCCTTGACACGCAAAAGACAGCACGAAGCATGTCCCTAATCGAAGTGTCTCGCAACCCCACCTCGCGCAAATGCACGTCCATTTCGAGCACATCATCTCTTCGAGAGAACCTTGCGTCACGAGACTGACAGCAAAAGACTGCCACACACGTAAACCGTACCCGACTGAGATTCATGGCGTGCGAAGTGCAGGCTGCGAGGTGCTTTTCAAGACGACATCTTTTCTCGGATGCTGCATGTCCACCTTCAACTGCACGAACAAAGCAATCACTGCCAATGGATCTTCGGCTGTGGGAGGGTAAGGCAGCTGCAAGGTAGCCGGCACGGTTCGTGTTTGTGCCTCATGTCCGGCCTGAATGTCCCAGATCTGAAAATCCACATCGCGGCATCTGTCAGGCCTGGAAGAACATCCAGCGCAAAGGATTGCATGCACGTGAGTTCAACTTGAGAGGCTGGCGTCTGGGCCACACTGACAACCACACCCCGCAAGTTTATCGTGAAGACCTGCCATCGCCCGCACTGTGTGAAACTGCATGTGATCCTTGTAGTAACACGGGTTCAATTGCATGGCGCGTGGTTGACAGCAGAAGCGCATTTATTCTCCACCGGCACGCCCAATGGACGATCCAGAAAAGAGAAGGCTGCACGCTGTGTCTCGCTGCACAGACGTGGCACCTACGCTCTAGAGAGCGCCTATCCAAACTCATCCAACATGTTGTCGGCTGCGAGACTCATAGCCTTGGAAGAGGCTTCGCGACGTTCTTTTCGCTTCGCCTGTCACAGATAAACCGACCAACTCAAGCTCTGCATCTCCTCGCAACTCGCAGCTAGTGCCAAAGGAGAGCGAATGCTGTGATATGCTGTGATGCACCCTGAGTACCTACATGGTCGCATGGGCGTAGTTTAGGCAAACTACGCAAACGCCTCCGCAAGCTTCCATGCAAACTGAACCTCACCTGTAATAGTTCAGCATGCATAAGTTCTACTCATCGAACTGTCTCCGGACGGGCCTTGACATCACTCGCCCTTGGCTTTTTGACCTTGCTCAAGGATTTTGCAAATGTCTCCTTCTTTCTTTCAACGATCATCTTTGCTCGTTGGTGAAGGGGAACTCTGTTCACCTCGTATTTCTCGGCTTTGTCATCAGTTGCATGTGCTTGGTAGTCTCGCACAGCATTGAACAAGCGGACAACACCTTGGGTGGCAAACTTACGAAGCTGCGCTTCGAAGTTCTTCTGTGTGATGTCCGGCAAGGAATGACCTTTGTCCTTCTCCGTCCGATTCTCTGCGGATTGAAGCCGTTTGGCTTTGGACTCGTCCTTGCTAGCTTTCAGCTTCTTCTCTATTTCAGTTTCTGCTAGCACCGGCGAGCTGGACTCCAGCTCCCTGCCCAGGATGTTGGCAAAGGCTGTGCAAAAGCCCTTCCAACCGGCTTCCTCGATTTTCCCCGTCGGCGGGGCATCTACGCTTTCAGGGACCGGCTTCTCGGCCTTGCTGGCACCTTCTCTGCGAGGCTTCGACTTCGCCTGCTTCTTCTTCAGGCGCCCAATCCTGTGCATGGTAGGTTGGCGCCATGCGAAAATTCATGATGCAGTGCCTGCAAAGCCAAAAGAGCAGCGGGGACAACTTGAAGTCAAAGCGGAGGCACCAACAAGCGGAAGCAAACAAACAGCATCTTTCGGAGACGGCCTCATTTCGCCGTCGCGGCTCGGATGAAGCCTTTGGAAGTACACTTGCTTGTCAGCCGTGCCCCCTTCCGCGACTCCAGCCCGCTGCAGACCATGGAAGCACGCTGAGCTGTGGGCAAGAGCAGCTGCGGTACCCCAAACCTGAGATCATGTGGAGAGTATGTTTGGAGAGAGCCGTCGGTGAAAAGAGGCCACGACGGATGAAGGCGACAGGCTTGCGGAGGGTCCTGGAAAGCACTCAGTACAAGAGCAGATGGGGCCATGCATTGTAGGACCCTTGCATATGCAGGCCGACAATACCTGCAGCCTTCGTTTAGCGGTGCTTTGGCATGAGGCACAAGGCACAAACTTACGGCGACTTACGGCTTCTGGCGCTGCATGAAGAAAAGGGCGGTTAGTTAAGAAGATTCATGGTTGAGCTGGAAGTCACACCCGCCTTCCACCACCAGACCCACCTGAGATGCTAATGAAGCCGGAAACTGACACATGCGTGTAGCTGCTAGCTGTCACCGCGCCCTCTCTAAGATTGAATTGCGCACTGTCGTTGACTGCATCTACACGAAGGGATGGAACATCAAAGCATCAGGCACGAAGCGTGTCGATCTTCAGCTCACCCGTAAACCTGAGGAATGTGCAAGGGACCCTCACGGCCGGTGCCGTGCTGAATTTTTGGAGGCGGTCTGAGCACATGGACGTCCTGAGGAGGGTTGCATCTTCGCTCTCCACTTCTTCTCCACCACTGTCCTGTGATAAGTGGGATTCTAAGTGAGGCTCCCGGGTCTGGATGAGTTCAATGCGCCTCGACCTGTCGTGGCACCGGGGCCTGCAGGAAGCTGGCAAACCGAAGGTCAACTAGAATCTAGTGGATTCTTAGGCCAAGGCGAAAGCAGCCGGCTTGTCAGGCATGACGGTGACCTGGCTGGATGCATGCCGGCTGGAAACGTGAAATTGAAGCTTGCTTCGCGCAACTTCAAATCAACGTCGAGACCCACCACAGCCACACGATCATGTATGGCAACGACCACGGTGGCGTTCACCTTGTCCAGCTTCACATGAATTTCCCGGTTGCAGCTTCGATCGGGAGCTGACCCGACTCGAGGCCTGAGGCCTAGGCACGGAGTGTGGATTTTGTCCTGTCCAGAAAACCAGAGAGATCCGAGCGTTGGGTCGCACGTGATTTAATGTGATGCTTGTTGGTGGCTTAGTCCTCTTTTGAGCTTGAGCATGTGCAGAATGTGCCTCGGAGTCAGTATTGGCAAATTCTTCTGACGAGGTCGAAGGTCACCCGAGATGTCCACGCCAGAAGCACTGCCAGACCTGATCTGTTTCTGACTGTTCTGCTAACTGCACCAAGGAAGCGGAACAGCGACACTTCGGGATGGGGCCAGCGTGGCACTTTGTGCATGCCACTGCGATTCAGATCGACCAGCACTGTCGCCTGGGCTGGCAGAGTCTTATTAAACACTACATCTGAGTACCGACAAGGACTGGGGCCCTCGCGCGTTCACCAGCATCTGATGCACGCTGCACTGCCAGGCGGAGCCTTCGCAAGGCAACAGGCAGGTAAGCATTGACCGAGCCAGTAGAAATCTCAGCATGGGATCAAAGCCCTCGGCCGTGGCACATTTCCCGCTGGTGGTCCTGCCGTGCTGAACTCCGCACTGTCTCTGAGAGTGCTGCCCCTGACTCAAGCACTAGTAAGAAGCGTTCTCTAGGGGCCTCTGCCCCCGATAGGCAGTTGCTCCCCGAAGGCCTCAGAGGTGCCACAAAAGAGTGGAAAAGGCACCCAGGCTGTACCCTTCACACTTCTCAGAAGTCCGCCACACTGAAGGCGTATGCTGGGTCCTGCAGACAGTCAGTTACTAGTAGTGTCTTCCGGTGGTTCTTCCCAAGTCGTTGTAAGGCGTGCCCCTGAATGCACTGATCGGTAACATCTAGATGGGCCAAGTGCTTCAAAGAGCCATGGATCGGCACTTGCGCACAGGCCTCGCCAACTCCTTCCATGCTGGCATGCAGCAGAACCTCAAAGTGGGGTTTCAGCAAAACATGACAACTGATGCCAGCGGCTGATCTTACCAAGCTGGGGCGCGTGCATCAGGATGCTTGTTAACAAGCATGTGACAGAAGCTGTTGTCTTTGATTGTGACCTCTGCAGCTTTCAGAGGCCACGCCTCTACATGGAGGACTAAGAGGAAACCGTCCAAGGCAGGACACGCAGCAAAGAGTGACCTCTTTTCTGACCAGCGAAAACGTAAATCGAAGAGGATTGCCAAAAGCGCATGCCGCTCTGCATGAAGGCTTCGATCGTGCTCGACGAAAACTGGGATCAACCTTGCGTGAAGAGCATTCTCGACACCCTCCCCGCGGTGTCCCAGACTGCGCTGGCGGACTGTCTGCGGACAAATCGAATGTGCCGCCGATGCTGTCACCAGGCGGGCGGAGGCCACTTGCTGGGTTTGGGTTGTCCGTCGCGGCTGACTGACTCTTCGTGTCTCCCGCCGAACCATAGGCAGCCAAAAGGCAGATGTGGCGGTCAGGCTAAGTTGTGACAATGCGGCATCAGTAAAGTGGGCGCCGAAACTGTACACTTGCAACTCTGGTGGAGACTCGTCGAGTCTGGACCTGTGCATGGCAGAAAGTATGGGTATTGCAGGTGCCAGCACCAATCGGTACAACATCTGGGACACCTTGACGTGCAGCTTGTCTGTGCGAAGCAGGCAGTCCATGCAAGCCATCGCCTGGCTTCGGGATTCGAGCATAGCAGCTTTGCTGCATAGCTCATCCAGGAGTGCAGCAGCCCGGGTCCAACACGAAGCCTCTTCAAACATAGCAAGCAGCGCCATTGCCGTGATGGCGTCTGGCTGCTGATGCTGCAGGAGCATTGATGTAACGGTAATGGCACGCGCCCAATCCTGTGTGCGAAAGCCTGGGAGTGCAGAGTTGAGGGAAGTGAGGTCGGGCTGGAGGCCATCGTGCGCAACGTGCACCAGGTTGTAAAGAGCCACGCGCCAGTCCGAAGATTTTGCTGCAGCATCAATGAGGGAATTTATGGCGACAAGAGACGTTTTTTGGCTCCCGCATGCCTGTCTTTGTAAACTCTTCAAGAGAGAAGCACAAAATGACCACTGGTGACCTTTGGAACATGAGCCCACGGCTGCACCCAAGGTGATGCCCTCCAGCTGCCCAGTCCAGTCAGACAGAAAATGCAGGGAGCTTTGCCAGAAATCTGCTCGATCACAAAGGGATAGGACAACAGACAGTGACGCAGTGTCCAGCTGGACCGTATCCTTCTGTGCGCATCTGCACAGATCCAAGGCCTGTTTCCGTCGGCCTGCCGCCTGCAAGGATGCCATGGCATTGGCCAAAACTGAAGGGCTCAGCATTTCGTACCTCTGCAAGAATGAGAACAGCACCAAGGCCCTGCTCCAAATCTGGCATTCACCTAACCTTTGAAACAGCGCAGCAGACAATGACAAATAAGAAGGGGAATGCAGGGCCTGCAAGGTGTTCAGTGTAAGCTGCGGAAGTGCCTGCACACCCTTCTGCCAGGCTTGTGACGGCAAAGCGCTGAGAAGGGATGCATAATTTCCCAAATCTGGCCGCAATGCGTCGCGTAGAGCGGCTTCCAGAACCAAAGTCCCGGCTCTCCAAGGGCTACCGGCTAAGCCGCGCAGCGCGGTGCTGCAGGCTGCTGCATCGATTTTTCGGCTGCGCCAGGAAAGCAAGACCAGAAGCACGGCCCACTGACCCCCTGTCGCTGCTGCTTCCACAGTCGCACCAAAAGTTGCAAGGTCTGGTTTGAGACTGGACTTGGCTGCCGCACGGAAGGTCCCCAATGCCTCTGTCCACTTGCTCGCGCTTGCCAAGCCACTCAGGTTTACATTCCAACACACTATATCACTCCTGAGGCCAGACTCAGCAAGAAGGCCTGAAAGCCCCAAGGCTTGTTTCCAAATGGAGGCCTTCTCACAAGCACTTACGGCCGCAGAGGAAGCTCCCAGGTCTTTCTCCAAGCTAGACATGATGTAAACGGCTCGGCTCCAAAGCACCTCTCGCCCGAATGCACTGACGAGAGGAGTCAAGGGCATGGCCTGTTCACTACATCTCCACGACCGCAGGAACTGAAGAAGCGCGGCGCATTCCTCCCAAATCCCGCTCTGAACAAGGCTGCCAGCAACGAGCTTGAAGGTCACACGGTCAGTTGTCTGGGATGTCTCTGCCACGGAATGCAATGAGAGAGCCCACGGTTGCTTCGCGGTGGCAGTCAAGTGCGCGTTACATACCTGTGTTGTTGGCTGCACTCCCTTTGCTAAACATAAATCGGCAAACATGACTCTAGAAAGGCGCCAGTTGCTCCTGCACCCTGACAGCAGGCTGGTTAACGTGAAGCAATCCAGCTTCAACGTGGAGCAAGAAGCTGGTTTCAGAAGTGCCAGCCCTGTCCTCCAAAAGCCTTTTTTGCTTGATCCAATACAGGTGTTGAGACTGATGGTATCCGGCCGTGTGCCGTCTGTGCACATCAGAACCAATAGTGACAAGGCCACGGACCATGCCAATCCCTTTTGGCAAGCTGCCATTGCAGCGTTACAACAAATCGTGCTTGCATGGAGTCTGGATCTCCGGCTATGGCAAAGGAGGAGGACAGCATCACGCCAAAGACTTTGCGCGGAAAGTGCACCGATCGCCGACGTTAGATGCCAAGGATCCAATATCGGGTCTCTCTTCAAGCTTACGGCTGACCTTCGGGCAGCTTCTTTCGAAGCTGCCTGGTTTCGCAAGACAGGGAAAACCAAGCTTGCTTCTGACGTCATCGGACGCAAGTGAAAATGTGCAGCCTGACAGCGCTGCCCTCTGACTGTCTGTCGCTACCCACAACGGAGCTGACCATCTGTTGCAGTGGCGCCTATCAGCCATCACAGGCAGGGGCTGAAGCAGGCAATCGGAACACGGTGTCCAGGCCGAAATCACCCGGCTACATTGCAGCATTCCGCACGGCATGACATGAGGAATCGGAGCACTCGCGGCTTGCCAAGGTGATTATCTTTCCAACGATGCCAGCAAACTTAGACGCAAGAGTTGAGCTGCCCGGCAGCCCAGCTTGCAGCATCGAAGTCGATGCACACGCAAAGCAGGAAGCGAGACCTGCTTCTGCAACTGGCAAGACTTCTAACCTTCAACGACGACGGCATCAGTAGGTCAGTGAGGTACCCGTGCCCTTTGCGGACCCCATGCGCTCTTGCGCGCGACTAGGCGGCCGGCAACTCCGCCTGTGCTTTCAAGGCGACGGGGTAAGCACCTTATCGACAGGGCGAGCGGGGACTTCGGAGTGAGTGGTCCCAGCATTAAGGCAAGGTGCCTATTCTGGACTCCTTCAGCTCAAAGGGCTGGCACCTGCCAGCGGGCGGGCATACAAACGCAGGTGCCTGACAGAGGAAGGTTCCGGGCCACGAGGTCCGAGAGCCCTGGTGCTTCACAGCCACCTCCCGACATTTGCCGGCCAGGACTTTAAAAACAAAAACTCCCCTTGGACAAAAATCCCGAAAGCCTGAAGGAGCTGGTCGCTGAGGCTGGTCCACCAGAGTGCCCGACTGGTGCCGGCCGAGACCCAAACCTCTGCCACAACGCTGAGACATCGGAAAACACTAGACTAGACTGCCAGAAGACAACTTCGTTAGTACTGTAGTTCCCCTTCGCCGCTTCGCCAAAGCACTCCGATTGCGATATGAGTCCCAGGCCGCTGTCTCTGAGGGACATCCGCATTGCTTGAAGCCAACCTGTGCCGAAAGCCCCAAGGCACAAAGAAGAAGACGAACACAGCTCTTCGAGGGCACTAAAGGCACCCGGAGCACATCCTTTCTTCAATTTTTCTTCTGCTGCCAGTGGCGCGGTAGCGAATGCTGCGCTCAGAGCTCCTTAGCTCAGGGGTATCGCTCGACCGGTCTCAGTCTAATCAAGGACCTTCGCACCATCAGTCCGGGGCACCTTCTCCTTCTTGCTTGCCTTGTCCGCCCTCTTTCGCAGCAGCTTCAGAGTTGCGGGATTTTTTTGAGCCATGTCCATCGGCGTCTGCCTCTGACAGGGAAGGAGTGCTGGTAACCGACTTTAGCTTTGCAGCAAAAAAACGCACCTAGCTGATCTAACTCATCTAACTTCTGAACTTCAACTGGGGCCCCAGCCCGTCGCTTGCGGCTTCATCGAAAGGCACACCCGCTTTTAGAAAGACCCTCACTGTATCGGCATGGCGCTGTTCTGTGCCCCAGCATGCTCTGTGCATTGGAGTGAAGCCATCTTTGTGCCTCTCGCTGGGGTCAAGACCATGGGCAATCAAGATCTTCGCAATCTCTGCCCTTCCCTGGAAACCTGCCCCATGCATGGGAGTGTATCCATCTTTTTCAGGGACGGAGGTATCGGCACGCTGCTCCAGCAAAAACTTGACGGCTTTCTCATTGCCAGTCAGCACCGCGTGCATTAATGGACTTTGACCTCCTGGGCCGAGTAAGTTTATGTCTTCTCCAGATGCCAGGGCTTCCTGGATCTTTGTCGGATCATTCGAACGGACCGCTGCATGAATGTCTGCAGCAACCCGCTGCAACAGCAACACTGCGAAGACGGACACTCCCACCATGGCACTCCGGCATGGGCCAGGCCGGACAAAGAACGGCTACTCCTCCTTCTCTTGAGCCTACAGAGTACACACGAGCAGCGTAGTTGTTGCTCCGGGACTCGACTGACAAATGCCGGCGCATGGCCTCCAGCTTCTCTGTGTGGTTAAACAGCCTTGGGAGAAGCGGGGCCGGGGGTCCTCTGGCACAGCTGAGCTCGATGCCAACTCAGCTGCCAAGGGGCATCATTGCTGGCAGCAGGCTGACCAGGCAGCTGGGAACGCCTCGCATCGCCTGGTGCAAACCACAGCTTGCCGAAACCGCTATGCGAGGACTTGGGAAAAGATGGGAAAGCCTCCGGAAGTGCCACCGTTTCCGTTCTGAGGCAGCAGGGATGGAGTGGCCTAGCAGGCTCTTCGCGTACTTCCGCAGCAGCAGCAGTGTTGCTGGGTTACCTTGTGTCTTCTGAGGGCATGGCGTCACAGCCACGGCGACTGCTCCACCAACCTCAGAGCAGTCATAAAAGTGCGACCCAGGACGACCCTAGGACTGCCAGCTCGAAGTGGCAGCAACGGCCGGCTGTGCGACTGACATCTGGCACGTTGGCCTCACCGCCGCTGCCATACTCAGCTTGCAAACGGCTCGCGCAAGCAGACTTCAGGACTCGCCTCCATGGGCGCATGAGATTTGAGTCCAACGAAGGCAACGCCGTCTCCAGCATCGTTGCGGATCTCGGGCAGGATGGACACCTGCAACTTTGCAGTTCAGGGCAGATTGCGGGAGAAACCGAATCTTCTTGCTCCATCTTTCAGCCCAATGATGTACATGCAAACGAGGCAACCTGCTTAAACCTACGTCCGCCTCACGACATACCCGTGGGTACTGGGGTACGGCAAGTCTTATTCCAGCACCCTGCGAAAGACGGAGGAAGCGCTGCCCAGGTATTGGCTCCGCTATGTGTGCCCTATCGCCCAAAGCTCAAGTGGCCTGGGATTCCGGAAGCTGGGAACAGGCAAGGTCAATTCAAAACTGCAACTCTGATGGTTTGCTCTTCCCTTCTGTGCCCCGGTTCAAGGTGCACTCCAATCCCAGTACGGTCCCTGGAGCCGCTGAGAAGACACTTATTTAGATGCCCGACCCTTCAACGCATTTTTCATGGGGCAGGGCATCGTGCCGGCGCATAGCTAGGCATCAACCGTCCAGCTGCTGCAATAAGAAAAGCCACCACCTCGGTTGCTTTGTCCAACTCGAGAGGGACAGTAGCCTGACCTCGGAGCGCTTCGAGGTTCGTGAAGGACCTATTCCACATCACACTGCCACAAGTCATTGAGTCGTTTAGGGTTCTGGTCGTCTCCGGTGAGTCCACCAAAGATGTAGAAACGGCCTGTCAATCCATTGACCGCCTCTCCAGCAGCTCCGTCAGCCCATCCTCGCTCCACTGGCCACCCGGAAGAAGACGAAATGCTGCTCAAAAGGGCACCGGTATTGCCGTCGAGTACGGCAATATCATTTTCGAAACCACCCGCCCCTTCATGTCCTAGATCTGAAGGATTGACCTCCCCTCCAAATATGAGTGCCTTGTCCCCCGGAAGCGAAATTGGAATGCACACGCTACGGGGGCGAAGATCTGTAAGCCCCTCTAAAGCGCTAGTTTCCCATGCCCCTTTCTTCAGATCGTATGCATGGCCGTCGTTTGTTTCTTCGCCTGCGAATCCAGCAATAACTGCAAGCCGATCAGACTTCAAATGGAGTAGATTTGGCCCACCCCTGCCTCGCAAGAGGTTTGATTTTCCAAGGCTGTGCCAAGTTTTCTTGACTGTGTCGAACTTGTGCAGATCTGCCAGTCGTCCACTCGTCCCACAGCCGCCAAATACGTAGAGATCACTACTCACCGCAATCATTCGGTGAAAGGACCTGGGCTCTGGAGGGTCGTCACTCCCTGCACCAAGCTGCACCTTCGACCAGGATTCCTTCCCTGGTTCACAGTGGCAGTCTAGGACCCAAAGATCATTCAGCGGCTTCTCGTCCATGGCGATGCCGCATCTTCCGCCAAAGATGTAGACGCTAGAACCCACAGCGGCTTGGGCATGTGCCACTCGCGGCGCCGGACCATCACAACTCAGGGCCCTCCAGCTCCAGGAATCGCCCTGCACATCTGCTGCCCACAAAGCCTGAGATGGATCTACGGATGTCCGAGCGATGTTCTCACCACCATAGACGATAAGCCTGGATCCTGCTTCGTTCTGGATAAAGGAAATGCCATGGGAGCTTCTTTCGCACGGGATGCCCTTGGCTGCATCAGGCCTTGGGCTGAGCTGCTTCCATGTCAGCCGGGTCAGAGGCACCACGTGCGCCATGGTCCTTTCCGCGCGAAACATTCCACGTCCAGATCGCATCACAGGCCGCAGCAACATGTCCAGGATCCGGAAGCGAAGGGCAAACAGTAGTCAATCTGAGCTCAACATCTGCGTTGCGGACATGGGCTAGCTGAAGGTCTTCAAGCGTCTCCGAAACAGAGACCACACGGTTGCAGCCCACTCCAGGAGTTTTGAACATGAGGCATGGTGTCACAATTTCACCTGGACGCATGTGTACCGGGATAGCATCATCCAACTTTCGAATAGGTTGCATCCACATGACAACAGTATATGATAGTGATAGTGTAAGAGCCCATGTGCAGAAGCAGGCCCGTTTGTACATGCAGTTCGGCATACACGAAGAATCACCACTTCTTTTACACCAGACCGAAGGAAGCCCACAACAGCCAGTCAAAAACCCCAAACCCTGTTTTTGTAACCCAAACCCTAAAAAACCCCCTAAACCATGTTTTGTTAACCACTAAACCCCCTAAGCACTGGTTTTACAACCCTCAATTTCCAGGCTCCTCCGCCAGGCCTTGCTTCCAAAGGCCGCCACCGGGTGCATGGGGCCAGGCCCTCCGGGTTGCAGGAGACGGACATCCAGGCCTGTCCAATCTTACTATTACTATTGCTATTTTTCGCCTTAGAGCTGCGAGAAAGGTTATACAGTTACGATTACTGTGACAGTTGTTATTATTACTCTGACTCTGACTCTTACACTTGCTATTCGGCAGTCGAATGTCCCCTTGTGCCTAACATATGCCACTTCTTTGTTTCGCATGCGCAAGGTGTCAATGCTTTCGACGTAAATGCATGCTCCAACAAAGTACGCTTTTCATTCTCTCCATTTATGCAGAGAATTGCAGAGATCGACATAGCACCAAAGCAGTACACAGGGCCTAACATATCATGACATGACATTTAGACTCTCACAACCCGGACAATCCAGGAGAGGCCTCCTCCATATCCTAGATACATCCGGCCAACACACGAGTTGTTCTGACACATTGCATCTGAGTGGAGTTCTTCAGTCTGAACATGCCACCATAATTCAACCCTACTCAGGAATGATTGAGGGAGCAAGGAGCCTGTGGAGTTCACAAACCACCAGGAGGTGTAGACCTGGGATCACAAAGTCTGAGGCCAGAACTTTGCATTTCCCGAACTTCTGTGCCTGTCCCGCTTGACTCGCCATGGGGCTTGCTGGGCCAACTTGTTTTAACTTCTCGCGGAAAGCGTGCCGACAGTAAAAAACTGAATGTGCATCTCCGACTGATTTTACAGAAGCCCAGACTGCACAACCAGAAAGCGGGCATTACCTAAGTCGAATTGGGCACGCGCTGGCCTACGTACTAATTACATGCACGTTGTACTCCCACTCATGACGAGCTCTCGTCAAGCAAAATCGATCCAACTTTTTGTGTGGCCCATCCTGCGCAAAGCAAAAATGTGCTACACCCATCGTCGGTGCACATGCTGCGGTGGCAATCGGTCTTTATAGCACTGCTGCGAAACCTAATGTCTTAGACTGGGAGATTATTGAGAAGTCGAGCGTGTTTTCTGATTTCCATCCCAGTCTTTCGCTTGTAGTCCATAACCTCATCCGGGAAGATGCTGAGCTCAGTGGTCGACTTAAACCGCTTCGCCGGCTTCAGGCCGACCTCCAGAAACAGCGCGTCCGGAAAAAGCTCCTGAGAAAGGACTGCGCAGTTTGCTGGATCTGCCTAGCTACGACCCTTACAACACATTCGAAGTGCAGCCTGCATGTCACAGGGCGGCACAGTACCGAAGATAGTATCTGGGTCCAGCGTTGCCTGGTACCGTGTGCAAAGCCGCCGGTTCAACCGTTCTCTTCAAAACCGGCCTGCTTTTGCACAGCCTCCAAATAGTCACCAGCCCACTGGGGCTGGAAGCCTTCCTCTCCCGGGCCAGCAAGCAGTGGATCGACTGCACGTAAGGGGACTGGGATCCTTGGCTGTGCTCGCTGTGACTGTGCTGAAGGCTGCGCCCGGAAGAATGCCCGAGACCAGGCGCCGCTTCAGCATCGCGGCAGGATCGACAGGAGCCGAAGGCCTTTTGTGCGAAGGCTGAGGTTTTCCGCAGCCAGGTTTGGACGAACTCGTGGAACAGCTAGAGCATGAAGGACATGCCTGCAGGACTCCGTTGCTGTGCTGTTTCTGGCTTACACCGCGGCCGGTCAAGCTGGCTTGACTCTGCCTGCTCCTGCAGCCGCCTTACCTGTCAAGTCATCCACAACAGCAGAGACAAACTACAGTAAGCAGCCTCTCGTAGTGCTGTGTGGATCTGGGGCACCTGTTGTCGGAGGCGCTGGCTTTCTGCCTCTGCGAGGGCCTTGGCAGCCTCTGCTCGCTCCGCACGAAGCCGTAGTTGACGACCTGCGCATCGAGCATGCAAGCGGCAGAGTCGGCAGGATAGCGATGTCGGCCTTGCAACTGCAAGCCCGCAGCTTTGACCAGGGTTGCCTACGGCCCAGAGAATGTTGTCTCGAAGGTACATGCAGCAGCCACTCACGATCACTTACCGAGAACCCAATAGCCTGCCAACACCAACCTAACACCAGTAACCCGCGGCACGGCAAGTAAGAAACCCGTGAAGTTGGCCGATTCCACTAACAGAGGGGTCTCGCAGCTTGGCAGACAAAAGTTGAAACTCTCTGCCGCATTTCGCTTCGAGAGTTGCGTGTGATTTTGGGATTCGGGCGGCAATGGCAAAGCTCGGGGTTTCTGGCTGAGCCGCAACGAAACGACGGGTCTGACACTAGCAGAAGCCTTGGCTCCTGCACCTTTGGCTTCCTGAACCCCGTCTGCCTTAGAATCTAAGAATCAGGTAAGTCAGATCCAGCCGTGGAATGGCTGCATCAGTCGCTGATTACTACCCTTTCCTTGTTACGACCGGGGGGCTCACACATGATCGAGGGGCCCAAGCGAAGCGTGAAGTTCTATGCAACTCAAGCGGAGCTACTCTCGTCCGTTAGCTCAGGGCAGCAAGAACTCTGCTCATTGACACCCACTTATTTCATGAACTTCGTCGGAAGTGGCAGTTGTGGCGTTGGAGGAAGTTTCTACCGTCTTCCAGATATGTGCCAAGCGTTTCAGGAGGTGGGGTCCGGGAGAAGTTGCGAAGGAAAGCAGCCAGGAATCTGAAGCTCTTCCAAGCCTCCAGGGTGCGCTTCAACCTTGCTGGAGCTCTGTCACTTTCGCAGCACTCAAGTTACTCGCGATTTTACATCTCTTTCGCTTCTCCTCGCCATGCTGCCAAGACTCGACTTTACCTCAGCCTGGCCCTCCATGGCCCGGGGCCCATTGCCAGCTCTGATCCCAATTGGCACATTCAACGGAGCGAGGATGAGCGAGGCTTCAGGAATCTGCAAGGTGTTCCAATCTACATGGTTGCCTGCAGGCGATTGGACGTCCCAAGCGTCCGATTGCAAAACCCTCATCGACCAACCGTTACCATGGCTCGTGCGATCAATTCTCGGCCGTTCCGCATGGCATTGAGGTTCATCCACCTGATTGCAATGGCCGCAGCGATCGAATGCAGAGCAACTTCTGATTCTTCAACGAGACATGTAAGGCCACAGCATTCCCCTGAATTCGAGCTGCACCTGAGCTTCCCAGAAGGTCGTCTGCCATCTGCGAGAAGTAACAGCATTGCTCGGTGAACCGCCACTTCAGTGGAAGAAGTCCGTTGCTGTACTGCTCGCAACGGCAACGACCTCCCATGATTTGTGGCATCATTGAAATGCCTCCCGTCTTTCCACGGTCAAATCTGGCTCGGGGTGCCATGAGCTGGCGTGCCCGTGAATGTCCCGCACTGCGAAAGATACGCTCAAGTCCTTCCAAGACTTTAAGCGAGTCGCTTCTCTCTCTCTCTCTCTCTCTCTCTCTTCTTCCCCAGGGCATGAGGGGTCTGTTAAACCCCCCGGCCAGTTGGCACCCCAATTGTTATTGGGGCTTTCGGAGGGTGTGAAAGATGCTTTGTGAATTTGTCGAAACAGTGTTTTACGGGTTTTGCGACAACAACAAAACTACAATAC